TCCGTCACCTTCTATGTTCGCACGAAAGGTTAAAGAGGAGGAGGAGGCCTCCGACGCCAAACGCCGCAAGACGGATGATTCGGAGAACCGGCCGACGTGCTCGAACGATGGACCCGTGGCTGAGCTGACTACGCCCCGATTCCATCGCTGGAAAGCGGGCATGTACACGCTACTGGCCGACGCAGATTCCACGGTACTCGCACCGACGACCACCGCGAAAGCGGCGACGTCAGGAAATTGGCGTCTTGATACGTTCTACCACATTTCCGGCTATGGAAAGTGTCCACCGAAGAAGGGCCGGCCTGCTGGCTCCGCCGATTCTACAACGGCTAACCAGTGGCCAGGCCAAATAATCTACATATCGCGGTCTGACAACGAGGAGGTACGGGCTTCATTTTTTTAATTTATCGCGTGTTGCTACTTTAATTATTTCAGTACAACTACTATTGTCTATATTTAAATAATCCAAATTACGTGTGCAGATTTTGCGAATTGCACCGGAGGACAACGCCTTAGCCCTGGTCTATTGCGACTCAGATGCACAAAAGTTCACACGGTATTTGAATAATCGGACAAAGCCAATTTCTACGGAGGAAGGCGTTGAACAAGAGTTTGCCTACGAACTGTCTCTGAGCTATTTTGATCCGTCACCCAATGATGAGGACGAAGCAGATGAAGATGACGACTCGCAATTACAGGAAAATGAGTCCGAATCGTACGATGACTATGACGAGGAGGAATTGGAAGAGGTGGAGGATGGTACCGGTGACGAGGAGGAGGAGCAAGGGACCAGCAACGGAAACCCGCCGACAACATCTAGATGACTTTTCCGAACCTTTATACAAATTTATACATTACAATCAAACCACTTATCGAGGTCTTTTTACGTCATATACTTTTCATGTTTCAGAAATTTTAGAAATCACGTGCTTATGAGGACCTCACCATCACCTCAGATATTAGTCCAAGTAACCGCGACAAAAGCTGGAAGCGGAGCCTCATTTGTCCACGACATTGATTTCATTGGCTGCGTGGAATTAGTATGCACGCTTAACTATTGCCGTGCGGGAGTTAGCTGGCATATCGTGTTGCTTTAGTCTTTGCACCTAGGCCACCAACCGGTTCTGATAAGTAACTAGGACAGTGATTAACTGATGACCACAAGCGCTTATGTGCCCCGAGACCACCTTGATGTTCAAAGTCTTGAGGTCCTGCGAGTTTCGAGTTGATAGAACAATCTAGTCCTACGTTCAGAAGAAGAGGATGCGATCACTGGAACAAGAGTTTAATTTTCCTGACCTTTCAGATTCCGTCGGGAACCCTTAATCATAGGTCAAGGTAGCATAGTCATAGTCATGCGCTGATGGGGTTGAAACATGCACAGGTTGCACGGTATTTATAATTCATAGTGGTCGTCCGCGTGCGTGCGATAATTATTCACTACTGTAGCCACCGCTTTGACCC